CCCCGCCTGCTCCCCACCTGCACCCCATCTGATCCCACCTGCACCTTGCCTGCTCCCTGCCTGCACCCCAACTCCACCTGCTCCCCGCCTGCACCCCAGCCCAACCCACCTGTACCCTGCCTGCTCCCTGCCTGCACCCCGACTCCACCTGCACCCCATCTGCTCCCTGCCTGCACCCCGACTCCAACTGCACCCTGCCTGCTCCCCTCCTGCACCCCATCCGACCTCGCCTGCACCCCGCCTGCTCCCCGCCTGCACCCCATCCCAACCCACCTGCACCCTGCCTGCACCCCAACTCCACCTGCACCCTGCCTGCTCCCTGCCTGGCACCCTGACTCCACCTGCACCCCGTCTGCACCCCATCCGAACCCATCTGCACCCTGCCTGCTCCCTGCCTGCACCCCATCTGACCCCAACTGCACCCTGCCTGCTCCCTGCCTGCACCCTGCCAGTATCATGCCTGCACCCCGCCTGCTCCCTGCTAACACCCTGCCTGCACCCCCTCCTTTTGTCACGCCTGCACCCTGTCTGTACCCTGCCTGAACTCTGCCTGCACCCCCTCCAGCCCTGCCTGCACCCCACCTGAACTCTGCCTGCACCCTGCCTAACTCTGCTTGCACCCCATCCAGCCCTGCCTGCACCCTGCCTGCAGACCACTAGCACCCTGCCTGCGCCCCACCTGAGCTCTGCCTGTACCCCCTCCAGCCCTGCCTGCACCCTGCCTAACTCTGCTCCCACCCCACCTGCACCCAACCCACCCGAGCCTGCACCCTACACGCTGCCTGCACCCCTCTCAACTCTGCCTGCAGCGCACCCGCACCTTTCCTGCACCCCACACCCTGCCTGTCCCCTGCCCGGCCATCACCCCATCCCCTGTGTGCCCACACCCCGAGCTCTGTGCCCACTGGCCATGGCTGAGGTGCTGCAAAACACCCGGAGGGTGTCCCCGCGGAGCCCACTCACTCCTCCCCGGGGCTGGGGACTGTGCCTGGGGCCATGGGGGTGACACCAACGGTGCCAGCGTCCAGCCCCCCCCTCCCTAGCAGGGCTCCAGACCCCCTCAGTGCCCAGCTCCAGACCCCCTCAGTGCCCAGTTCTGACCCGTATCCCCTCTGCCAGGCCAGGGGTGATGCTGAAGGGCCATGGGGACCATTGGGGGCACACAGGGACCAGGCAGATGTGGCTTGGCTTGGCACCACACATGCCCTGGCCAAAAGCCACCGTCCGGGATGTGGAGGAGCGGATCAGTTCCTACCTCTGCCCTCACCAGCCCCACAGGCTGGGGGCAGCGGTGCCCGGCCCTCCGGGCTGTGGTTTGGTGTCTGGATGTGGCCCCTGGCAATGGCTGAGCCCCCAAAAGAGCACAGGGGAGTTCCGGGGGGGGTCAGTGGCTCATGGGTGCTGCAGAGCTCCAGCTCCAGGACCTTTGGGGTCCTGAGGGGCTCAGTGTCCCCAGGCAGGTCCCAGGAGTGGCACAGGCTGGGGAGGGTGACGGGGGGCTGTGGGCAGCATGCCCGGCTGTGGCCGAGGGCTGGAGACCCCATCGGGGCCATGCTGAGCATGGGGGGGGCTCCTCTGACCCCCAGCCTGCTCATGGGGCTGTGTGGCTGTGCCAGGTCCGGGGTTGGTGCCAGGTGGGCAGGTTGGGGTGCAGAGAGGGTGGCACACATGGAGCCCTGGGGCAGGGGACCTGTGTGGGGAGGGATGAGGTGGGACACGCTGGAGGCACAGCCCTCCCTGGGGTGCTGGGTTGAGCCGGGTGCCCTCGTGCCACCAGTGCAGGATGGTACAGAAGGGGACAAGCTGTGACCTGGTGCGTGGCACCTCCGTGTCCACCCCAAAATTCCCACAGCCCTGCTTCTTCACCGTAGCTGCTCGTGTGCCAGCCGTGGGACACAGCACAGCCACAGGGCATGGCACAGCTGCTCATCATGGCATGTGTGGCTCCTGCCATGGGATGCCCATCCCCAGCACTTGTAGCACCCACACCCCCCTGCTGCCCTCGGTCCCTGCTGTGGGGTTGGGACCATGTTGGGCACCATCCTGCACCCTCATCCCCATCACCTCCGTGTCCCCAGGCTTCCCCGGTGCCCAGAGTAGGGGGAGGTCTTTCAGAGGGGGAGGTCTGAAGGGGACAAAACCCCTCCGAGCTGTGCCGGGTGGGGGGTCATGGCCTGACCCTGTCCCCCCCAGCCATGAGCCGCCGCGTGGTGCGCCAGAGCAAGTTCCGGCACGTCTTCGGGCAGCCGGTGAAGGCCGACCAGATGTATGAGGACATCCGGGTCTCCAAGGTGACGTGGGACAGCTCCTTCTGTGCCGTCAACCCCAAGTTCCTGGCCATCATTGTGGAGTCTGGTGGTGGGGGGGCCTTCATCGTCCTGCCCCTCGCCAAGGTGAGAGGGGAGGCTGCCGGTGTCTGGCCCCCCGTGGGATGTGTTGGGGGGGACATGCTGATGGGCTCTGCTTTTGTGGGGGGTGCTGTGGCCCCAGAGCCCCCCAGATTTGTCCCAAAATCCCTGTCCTCACATGGGGTCTTGGGGAAGAGGCAGCCTGGGGTGGTCATTGGCACTTGCAAAGGGTGACATCCCAGGGGCAACTGAGGTGATGCAGGAAACCCCCGGCTGATGTCTCCTCAGCCCAAATTCCCTGGGGACAGGCGATGCCCAGGGAGCATCCCGGTGGGGTGGGGGTCTGCCCTGCCCACCCTGGCAGAGGAGCTGGGAGGGGGTTCCCAGCCCCTCCTTGTCATAAGAGGGGACACAAAACAACCTCTCCTGAGGCACATTATTCCCTTCCATGTCCCTATGGGGCCTCGTGCTAAGGGAGCCCCATTCCCACCGTGTCCCTCAGTTTCCCCCTTCAAGGTGGGTCCAAAGCTCTGGCCACCACCAGGACCATCTGCATGTCCCCGCTTGTGCCACGGCCCCATGTGGTGATCGGGTTGGGGTTTGGGGGCCACCTGGCAGGATCCCCCTGGACTTATCCCAACACCCTGATGTTGCAGACGGGACGGGTGGACAAGAACCACCCGCTGGTGACGGGACACACGGCCCCCGTGCTGGACATCGACTGGTGTCCCCACAACGACAACGTCATCGCCAGCGCCTCAGAGGACACCACTGTCATGGTAAGGGGATGGATCCCAGGCGGGAGGGGTGGGGTGGCGGGTGCTGGGGGGGGGGG